CTCGTGGCCGATCATGAATTCTCAACTGTCACTCCCCACTCCAAGATGCGCGTCCAACTATATGTGTGATGGCTGTTCAAGACTGTCTGGGCAGCTTGGGAAGTGGCGATAAGTGCGTCCCCCGATCCTGACGAAGCTGAGGTCGGTACCCCTGCGTGGGCTGCCTCGATCTTGGCAATATCATCCTTGATGTCCTGTGAGGCAATGTCGTCTGCGTCGATGTCGATCGAGCTGCGCGCTGTGACGCCGAGCGCAAGGCTCGCAGTCTGCTCCCTGGCCCTGTCACTGAGGACGCAGTACTTGTGGCGCTGGGTGGGGCGGCATCGGCGAGAAAGGCTCCGTCGGCGATGCCCCGAACAGCTCCCTCTTCAATTCCGCGGGTGTTACCTCTCTGGCAGGCTCTGGTGTGGGACATCCTGCATTGGGGGTCTTCCCGGCCGGCATGATCAGGACTGGCTCCTCCGCCGCCGCTGCCCCATCGGCTTGGACTCGACCCCCCACGGCAGGCGACGTCGCAGTGAAGCTGGAGCCTGCGCCTGTCCGCGTGCTGCGCCGGCTGCAACTGCGCGTCGACTTGCTCGGCCGTGGGAGCCTGAGGGTACTGCTGCTGCTGCTGCATCAGCTGCTGTTGCTGTTGCTGCTGCGCGCGCTCATCATCATTCACGGAACTCTGTCCGTCTCGTCCTGCCGATTCGCCAGGCTTACACTGATCTCCCGCTCCTCCGTAAGTTGGTTTGGCTACCCACGCTGCTCGACGTGATGCGGCTGAGGCTGAGGCTGAGGCTGCGGAGAAAAAAGTGTCGGCGGCGCTGGCGGAGGCGGTCTGGATGGTCCGACAGCAGGCGCCGCTGCATGCTCATGCTGCCCACGCTGCTCACGCAAGTGCTGCAAGAGCTGTCCTTGCTGATCCTGCTGTTGCTGGGCGGCAGCGGCATGGGCCATGACCACATTTTCCTCCGTCATGTCTTCGATATCATGGATGCATACCTTGCGCTGGGCGATGTCTATTGAACTATCTGTCTCCATGGCCTCGAGCTCTCGGATATTGCCTCGTGCGACCTCGAGCCTGTGAACAGCTTTCTCGCGCTTGTCCTTGTTCTCGTCTCTCTGCTTGTGTAACGGCTGTGTGATTTGCATCATACATATATGCATAGCTATCTTCTTGTCGTGCCGATGTGCGAGATCGTCTGCCTTGCCCTCCGACTGTCCCAGGCCAAGATGGCTAGATCCGTCAACTGCCAGCGATATTAGGGTCTGTGCCCGCGTTGATCGGCGCGTTCGACAAAAGGTTTGAAGCCACGTTCCCGCTGCACTTCTTCCCTTGTCATTGGAGCAACTCTCGACAAACATGTCCGAATTTCTCTTTCCGAAAACTGCGACACCCTGGACCTGTTGGCTGGAGGAAAAATTATTTTTGGATTTGGTCTGGGGTCCTCTGGGCGGAGGATAATTGTTCTCCCTGTGATCGCGCCAATACTGCTCGTGCCCACGAACATACCTCCCACATGATGGACAATCCCATGTCGGAATATGCCATCCTCGCATGGATTCTCCTTCAAACGTTCGCTGGGACGAGCGATGCAAATTCAGTCTCTGGTTTGCCTGATGCACTCGCACAAGCGCGCGAGCCTGCGACCGAAGATGTCGTGTTTTGCGGTGCCAAGCACGTTCTGGAGAGCCCGCCGCGATAGCAAGCGCGATCGTTATCGTAGACGCGGCTGCGGCGCGTCGCTGGACGCACACATGTGAGGTCAGGCCTGCCCGAACACCTGCTCCGAGGCCAAACTGTTGACTCCCTGGAGCCCCCCGCTGCGTGGGCCCTGAGGCTTTGCCCCAGAAGATGCTTCGCAGATGGCTCGCACTCGGCCAGCCAGGGGGACAGCGAAGTTAGCTTTCGGGCGGCTTGGGCCGTTGTCGAAGTCGCCGAGGATAGCGAAGAGAACCATGCTCTCCAAGGCCGATGGGCTGCCAGGCTGCGGGGCCGCCCCGGGCAGCGGCGCGGGGCGGCGTCGCGGGCGCGCCCACGGGCGGGGCCAGCAGCTGCAGTGCGGGCGGGGCCCAGCAAGCGAAGGGGCGGGAGCAGCAGGCGGCAGGCGCACCGGGCGTCCAGGCGAGGGTTACAGGGCGTCGCCGGCGACCTCGTCGCCGTCCTGATTGACGTCGTCGTGGGCGTCGTCGTGTCTGTCGCGGTCGCCGTCGCCGTCGTCGTCGGCGTGAGTTGCGAAGCCGTGGTCGTGCTCACGTTCACATGTGTGTTGGTCGGCGTTACCGTTTTCGTCGTAGTCGGCGGCATCGTTGTCGCTTGCCGTCGATGTCGGCTGCAGGGGCGCGGGGAGTGGGGGTTAGGCCGCCTTCCCGGGACTTTCGCAAAAGGCCGGGGGGGGAGGATCGGAGGGTGTCGAAGGGAGGAGGGGGTCCGATTTCAGAAGAAACGAGAGGGGGCAGGATTTCCGGGGAAGGGAAGGGAGAGAGGGGGGGTCCAGATTCTGGAGAGCAGGGGGGAGGTACTTTCGAGACAGGGGAGGTACTTTCGAACAGTTCTGGAGAAGGGGTCGAGATTTTCCGCAGCACAGCGCACACACAGAGAAACCGCTCTCTCAGACCACCGCTCACGCATGCGTGCGTACACCAGAGCGGGGAGTGCACAAAATCACAGAGAGAACCGTTGCGCATGCTGGCGTGTCGCAACAATCACTTGGCAACCTGGTCCCATTCCACGTGCGCGCGGGGGGGGGTACAGTCCACGTCGTCGGTGTTCGGAAGGGGGGGGCGAACGCAAGCACGCGAGCGGTGCGGGCCCCACCCGGGCCCCGGATAGGGCCAACACTGTCGCTCTCCCACGAAGCGCTGGCCCTGGCATCCCAAACTTTCAGTCGGGCCTATCCCCCCAGAGGGGGATGTTGGACGATTTTTGTTAACAAAAAAATGTCAAAAATACCCCCCTCCCCCCCCCCAAAAAAAGTCCCCTGACAATGTGTTACTTATCTTTGAATACTCCCCCTGTAGAGGGACACGCCCGACTTAACCCAAACGTGACGAAACTACGCCGGCATATTCGCGAAGGCTCAATCACTTGGCAGCCAGCTCGCACTGTACGTGGTGTTGGCGGAGGGCCCGTCTGCTGAAAGGAGTTCTTGAAGATGTGGGGCCCTGTGATTGCATCGCCTGCGCATGCTGCTCCGATCCATAACACACAAAAGAAGATCGCCAGCATCGAAAACGGCGATCATCGCACACCCGCTGTGATGATGAGCCAGGGGGAGTTGGTCTCGAGTTCAACGTACGTGCATGGAGAAGTAAGTGAACGACAAGCTCGCCAGGGCTGTCAGCTTGACCGACTTCCAGCACTGCTGCAGAGAGGACACTCCTTTAAGGCAATGCCAAGAGTGTCACCACCAGGGCCCGAGCTAAACAGTGTCGTTCGTGTTCGTTTTGTTTTCGGTTATCCTCGCACTGTCTTGGTTCCGCCTTCGCTTCAAAACGAAATCAAAACGAAAACGGTCTACGAAATCGCCACCAAACACCGCTCAGCTCGAGCCGTGGTCACCACCAGAGGGTTCGACACCGTCTCGAAGAGGGGGACTCCGCAGGACACCCCAACCCCTCCAGACCCACACAAAGCGCCTCAACATCGTCCAGAGCCCTCCTCGACACTCACTCGTCGGACGACCCTCGCGAGGAGCTGTCACACCTCCTGGTCCCAGGCCTCCGCCGTAGTGATTTTTTATACAACAACGACCCCTGGAAGCCTCGGCCCTCGGCCCCTACTCCCAGACTGGCTTCTTCATGCTGATTCGCTGCTTGACGAGTCCTGGGGCCCGGCAGAAAGGCCTCCCGAAGCGCAGAGCGGCGAGATACTCCGAGGAGGGCGACGCAGAAGAACGCGACGAGCGGACGTCTGGCTTCCACCTCTGGAGGCCGTCTGCAGGCCGTGGGACAATAACAAAACAGCCCAGGATGAAAAACTGGGCCCCAAACAGGCGGCGAGACTCGGCGGGGCCAATGTCACGGAAAAGCTGCCGCATCAGACCAGTGGAACAACCTTCCAGCAAGGTTTTTTGACGACGCGAGAAGGTTTGGGGCATCCTACGATATGTTTTTGGGTTCTTGTTCAATATGTGGCCGCAGAGCTTCCGACCCCTTCCCCAGGGGTAATTTTTGCTTCGTCCGCTGATCCGGTTCGATGGTCTGGGGCCCCGATATATAGGACACTTGAGGCCGAGATGGGGAGAGAACAACAACAACAACAACAACAACAACAACAACAGCAACAACAACCACAACAACAACCACAACAGCAACAACCCCAACAACAAAAACAACAACCACAACAACAACAACAAAAACAACAACAACAACAACAACAACAACAACAACAACAACAACCAGAACCACAACCACAATCACAACCACAACCACAACCACAACCACAACCACAACAACAACAACAACAACAACAACAACAACCACAACAAAAACGCCGACGCGCAGGCGAGAACGCGAAAAACCTTCGAAAGCCACAGGAAGACACGTGATTTGTGACTCTTGGGGCTCTCTTGGGGGGCCTCTTGGAGGCCTCGCGTGGCGTCTTGGGGGCTTCCTGGTCCGTCCGGAAGCCATCTTCTTGGACGGTCTGGACCGACCTTTCGGCGACTCGTGACCCTCTTGGACCATCTTGCGGACCATCTTGGGGCCGTCCTTGCCGCCCGGAAGCGCGTCTGCCGAAATGGGGCCGATGCTGGCCGTCTTCCGCCGGGACCCCCCCAGGGGGTCCACCTGTGCTGCGCCATGCCTAGGGTTGGCGTCAGGGGCTACACGTCGTTTGTCACTCTACGGGAGGAGGTGGAGGAAGAGCAGGAGATGGAGCGAGAGGAGGGTGCATCTCCTGGGTCCAATGTCATGCAGACGAGCATCGTGCGGCCCAGCTCCGTCACCAAGAGAAGTCCAAAGTCTCGGAGGGCACGCTGATAACACAACCGCCTCGCACTCGGAGGACAAGACTAGGCCTTCGACCGTGCGCAGAGGACCTCCGAGCGGCTCTGCTTCTGGCGGCATCGGGGCCCTCGTCGAGGAGTCTGAAGCTCGTGCGGCCCTGCCGGAATGCTGTTCCCGATGTCCAGGGCTATCACTGCATGGTGCAGGGCTATCACTGCATGGTGCAGGTCGACCAGCGCTGACAGCGCGAGCTGCCACTTCCCGCCCTTCTCGCAAGCGCTGACTGCGAAGCAATAATTCAAAACATCCATCTCCAGCTCGCCTTGCCGCAACTCGCCGAGCAACGACAGCGCCTGCTGCCACTGCCGAGCTTTCTCGCACGCACTGACGGCAGGGCTGTAGCTCAGGACGTCTGCCTCGAGGTTCACCCGGCGCAGCTCACGGAGCAGCGACAGAGCCTGCAGGAGGTCCCCAAATCGAATCCATAAGGCGGATCGGCGATCGAAACAAATCGGATCGGCGGGAAGCGACAGCCAAGTCGGAAACAGCCGAGCCGGCAGAACTCGGCAGACAAGTGAGGCCTCCATTGAGAGAAGCCGAGATCCAGATCGGAATCCGAAATCGAAACGGATCGAGATCGATCGACATCGGGTCGAATCGAGTCGAAGAAGTCGACACGCGCCCTGGCCTGCTGCCACTGCCCACCAACTTCGCAAGCACTGATCAGGGCGTTGAAGCTGACGACGCCAGGCTCCACGCTCGCCTGCGGCAGGCCCCCGAGCAATGACAGCGCGTGCTGCCATCGCCCGGCAATCTGACACGCAGTGATGGCAGCGTTGACGCTGACGACGTCTGGCCTCAGTCTCACCAGAGACACCTCGCTGAACAGCGCCAAAGCCCGCTGCCACTGGCCGTTCTTCTCGCACGCGCTGATGGCCGCGTTGTAGCACTCGATCACCAGCTCCAGCTCCAGCCTCCGCGCGGTGCCGAGCAGAGACAGCGCGTGCCGCCACTGCCCGCCTGAGGGCCGCCGAGAAAGCCGAGGCCGTGGCAGAGCCCTCGAGATGACCCAGAGGTGCCCCACCACAGCCAGCGCTGGGCGCGAGAGACCGCACGAGGAGTAAGGTACCAACACCTGGGCAGAAAAGTCCGACTCGGCACTTTACGAAGCAGCCGCCCCCTGGATGTTCGCTCTCCAATCGATCTTCGACCGCTGATCGGTACCGGATCCTCGGCCCGCTTCTCGCGCGGACTCTGCGGCCCAAGCGTTGTACTTGCCGACAGGGGGGTCTGTACGGCGCGCGCCCACGAGCTATCACAGATGCCGCCCACGGTGCTGCCAGGACCAAGGATTGAGCAGGGACCGACTGTCCCGGCATTCCTATACGCCTACCACGACATGTTCTTAGAACCCAAAAGTGCTCTAAGAACAAAAACTTATGTTTTTAGAACATAAGCCCTACGTGTCAAAAAAAAAAAAAAAAAAAAAAAAAAAAAAAAAAAAAAAAAAAAAAAAAAAAAAAAAAAAACGACAACCTCAACCAGAAATGTTCTAAGAACATTTCCTGCAAATCACAGAAGGTTCTCAGAACATTGTTTGGTGGGCCTACAGGCGAGCCAGGACGCTTCGCCACTGCGTCAAAGGAGTCCCGAAGTGCCCCTGGGCCCCGGAGCTACGGGCAAAAAACGATGATGGTCATGGTTATGGTGACGGTGACGGCGATTGTGGTAGTGACGGTGACGACGACGATCACGCTGACGAGGACGAGGACGAGGAAGATGACGGTGATGGTGATGGTCCCACGTAACTTGGCGAGCCACATGTCTTTGTCTCAGGCGGCGACCGAGCGGGCCGTTGCAACCAGCACCTCGAGGTGCGCCTAATAATGTGAAGGAGGCGTGGACCCAGGTGACCGCAACCTCAGATTGTGGTAAAGATTGAGCGCCAATGTGATGAGAAAGACGGCGCGCTCCCGTGAGGTCTCCCATGCATATTCGGACTCTTCCCCAAATCCCAAACGCGTGATGACAGAGTTATGAAGGAAGGAACGTGGTAAGGCGACGAGGTGGAGCAGGCGCGGGCAAGAGAGGTAATGGGAAATGGAATCAAGCATACTCTCGCACCCGAGAACACATCGACGCGGGCCCAGAATATGCACGCTGTGGGAAGTGATTCATCCACCCGCCAGGGTTTTGAGCACAGAACAGAAAATGGCGGGCGAGAGGCCGCCAGGATTGCTTTCAGGGCGGACCAGCGCGGTGCCACAGGAGGAACTTGCATGTCGTGGTGCCACGCTCACACGCGCATCTGCAGCGTCAGGTGTAAGCGGTCGGTGTATAGCTTACGGGTGAGTGTGCGAGTGTACACCCCCTGGAGCTTCGGCTGTTTTTGAAGCATCTCAGCCTGGGCAGCAGCCTGGGAAGCCTCAGCTGCCGCGACGCGCTGAGGGGCCGAGGGGATCTTCGGGGGCGCGATCGGCTGTAGGCGATCGATCATGCAGGAACTGTACTATGGCGCGCTGATCGCGCCAGGATGGTGGCCCCCACAGCTCTTGGACTTGTCGAACGAGCACGTTGCCCGAAAGCGACGCCCCAGAGAGCTCAGAGCACCATGCATCGCGTTATGGGATCGCCCCAGCTCGCTGCTGCAGCGAATGCGGCGATGGACTGCGGGGTAACTCCAGGGGCCCATGCTCGGAGCAAGCATAGATCGGGGCCAGTTAAAGAGCTGGGCGGCACCTTCAACAGTTTGCGCGAGCATCGCGGCCCCCGCGCTAGGAGCAGCCTGGGCAGCGGAAAGAATTGGGCCACATGGCCCACGGCGGGAAGAATCGCCACTTGATAGAGGCGGAGGGGCCGCCAGGAGGCGAGTCGGAGGCCAGGGTCTCGAGGATTCTCTCCCACCACTTTTGCGCGCAGGCTGCCCATTGCTGGGCGCTGGTGCTATCGGGCCCGACAAGCACCACCAGATAGTTGGCCGACCCTGCTATCGTGAAACGCTGCCACTTCGGTGCGATGGCGCGGAGGACCGCACGCACGTCCTCGATGACGGTCGGCGCGCACGCTGCCCACAGCGGCACGAGCACACACTTGAAAGGGTGGAAGTGGAGAGAGGCGAGGCTCGACGCGGAGGCGCAGGTGGGGCAGAGGCGAGGGAGGCACACCATCTTCGAAAAGACAGCCTCTAGATCATCTGCGCAGCCGCCGAGCGAGCCATCGCGAGGGTCTGGGGTGAGCGCCAGCCTTCAGCGAACGGATGATTGAGCCCATGCCGAATGCCCAGAGAGAGAGAGAAAGAGAGAGAGAGAGAGAGAGAGAGCCACTAAGTGGGCACCCCTGCATCGCGCCTGAATTGACAAGCGGCAGCGTCACGACTTCGTCGCGGACGCGGGACGAGGCCAGGGCGAAGGCGCACGTGCCTCGAACCGCGGCCAGGCACCCAGGAGGAAGGCCCATGCGTTCGACGACCGCAAAAAGCCACGTGCGACCCCTGCCGGGGAACGCCGCCCTGAAGTCAAACGCCACGGAGAGGGGCATCCGACAGTCAGCGTCTTCATGGGGGGCCGACCGCTCTCGCGCGCGCATCTAGCTTGGCTTTGTTCTGACAGGAAGTGCGGCCTCTGATGACTCCCACGCCAGGTTGCGTGCACGCGCTCTGGGGGGTAACTTTGCCAACGGGAAATTGATTGCTGACGCCAGAACTTTGGCATCGCAGTTTTTTCGCGGGCGCGCCTCCGACACATCGCGATAGCATTCGAGCGCATCGCCGACCATGTCGCCCTTCGGCGGGAAACAAAACTCGAATGGTTCAGGGCGGGGGGGCGGGGGGGCAGGGAGGGAGCTGCAAAGGCAAGGAGAGATGGGGCAGAGACAATCAATAGTAGCTGGAACGGCCAGCCATGCCCGGCACGGGGCGGCCAGGGCCAGGTGCCGAATTCCGCCCACGATAAAAGTCTTGAATGAGAGCATCCCTGGAGGAAATCGACAGGTCAGCAAACCGAGAACGATGGCGACACTTTGTCCAGGAAAACGGCGATGTCAGCACGAGATACAAGTTTGTCCGAAAACATCGGGGACCAGTGGAGTCGGAGAGCATGGGCAAAGTCTTCCGGCTCTCTGGCCACTGGCGGGAGCAATGAGCCCCCATCATTCAGCCTGGGGTTTTGTGCGATCAGCCTGGTTGCGATGCCGCGCAAGACAAGACGCTTAGAATATGGGGCCCAGAGCGCCGCGCGGCGCTGGAGAGCACGTTGGATGCAACGCCGTGCTTCGACGGTTCGCTGGTCCTGCGCTCGGGCCGCGCGAGCTGCCGCGAGGCGTCGGGGCTGCTCGCATCATGCTTGGTTACTGCTAACAACAGCGCGTTGAAACTCAGCCGCATCGCGCAGCCGTGGGGGAGGGGCCCTGGAACAACCAAGACTTGTCGCCCGAGCTCTGTGGTCGGAGCCACTTGGCGAGCAGCGGCAAGGTCAGCGCGCCGAGTGGCGCGCGCGAGCCCCCCACCCTCCGGCACACGTCGCTGCAGCTCGTTGCGCGCCAGCTCGGCCGCCAGGATCGTGATCTGATTCGCGACGTCGAAGCGCCGCAGGCCAGTCATCGCGTCAAGTTCAGCTTCGCTCAGCATCTTGGCGAGAAGATTCTTGTACTGCTAAGAGCGGGACAGGAAATCAAGGATCGGGCGCTGGTCCTTCACGGGCGGCTTGCGGTTCTCGATCGCGAGCTTGATCACGGCGTGGCCACTGAGGGCACTTGGCGACGTTGAGCTGGCAATGCAGGCGGGGGGCGAAGGCGGGAGGGATGGCCACAAAGACGCGACCATTCGAGGTGCCCGTCCGATGCTGCTTGGAGAAGAAGGTTGGGATCTCAGAACTGAATCTCACCATACTCATTCGGGCCAGCTGTCGCCAAAATTGTTGGTTATGTTGGAATGCGTCCTCTTGCGTCTGACGTGCTTGACGCGCTTGTGGCATGAGGTGCGATTGCGAGGGCACATCAAAGAAGTTGAAGCCATCCATCGCGATGGAAGTGATGCGCAACGGGTCCGACAGCGCCCACGTGGAGCGCATGGTCCACTCCCCTCGCAGGGTGCGTTTCGGGTCACCCGTCATCTCATAGCCGCGCGCGTGCAGGATGAGGAGCTCTCGCTCGGCGGCAACGTTGGATACCGCGAGGAGCTGAGCGCGCTCGCCCAGGATCAAACGCGAGGTGATCGCGAGAAGCGCGAACGAAGGAGGCCGCCCAGCTGCTCGGTCTCGCTGCTGCGCATCACCCTCTGCGCGGGCAAGCCCAGGCCCCATGATAGCAACTCCCCCGGCACCCCGGCTGCCCGCGCCACCCACAGCGGAGCATCCCGAAAAAGAAACCATAATAAGAGGCAGTGCGAGGGGAGCGCGCCAATACCATGTCCAACTCAGCTGTTTCTTACATAAGAACAATTGACAGAGTTTTGAATGCATTCTCGAGCTTGCGGGCCTTCTGCCAGCATCGGACATGATTGTGACATGCGAGCCCGCGAGCGTTCCACGAGACAACCTGCAGTGGTGCGCCGTGCGTTTTGGCCTCCCAGAGGGCCCAGCTTTCGTTAAATATACCACGTGGATGTATCAATCGAGACAAAACCAGCCTCGAACTTCTACTTGACCAGGTCTTGGTTGATGCCCGTGTTGTCGACCGCCGCTGGATTCCAGTTGAGCTTCGCGTGTTTCCGTAGACCTTGCGGCTGAATCTCCCGACGGGCATCGCCACTTGCCGCGCGATGCCCGACTGCCGCAATGTCATGAAGCCTATGCCAAGGAAGAGTTCCCCGAGGATGCCCGCGACACGTTTGGTCTGGAGCTCACTGCGCACGTGCTTCGGCGATTTGTCACTGGATGCGAAGAGCGGGGTGTCTGCGCAGTAAGACGTCGGGTGCTGAGAAGGTCCGCCATCCCCCACCCATGAGCCTGAGCGCCCGCGCCAAAGCGAGCGCCCTTGGACGCGCAAATTCAGGACATCCGAGTACGAGTCGGTGAACCGACGTG